GGGGGGGGGGGGGGGGGGGGGGGGGGACCTCAGATCAGCCTCCCAGGCTCAGAGAGGCCATGTCCCGGCTCTGCCCTCCTCTCTGGTCTCCGGGCCCTCTGAGCTCTGAGGGGACCTCAGGAATCCGGCATCAAACGGGGGGAGATCTACGAGGAGGAACAAAGCAGATAAGTGAGTCGCATGAAGGCTGGAAGAGGAAAGGAAAGGGGAAGTGGATAGGGAGGAGAAGAAGGGAGAGGGGAGGAGGGAGGAATGAGGGCAGGGGGGAAGATTTACAACCTCCTCCTCAAAGCTGGAGGACATATGATCGAAAACACTCCAGGAATCCTCCCTGGTGTTTGCTGAGTGGGGTCTGCCCCCCCCCCCGTTCCGCCCCCCCCCACTCCAGACGACCTTGTGATGGATCACCCAAACCGGAGGCTCCTGTTTGGGCCTCCAGATAAAAAGTCCAGCCTGTTTTAATGCTTTTAACCATCAACAAATGGGAAAACTGGCTCCATCCGAGCCATAAAAAGGAGCCTTTGCATAATAACACACACATTTAGTCCAATTTCTTCATAAAAAACTATTTTAATGGAGCCTAAAATCCAATTTTCTGTTTAATCTGACCCACTTTTAGGTTTTTGTCACACTTAAAAGTCTCTTTATGAGGTATTTAAAATAACTTCCAACCTACTTATGAGTCCCCAAAAGCATTTATGTCAGTCCTTTCTCTCCTGTCCTCAAAGTCTGAGATGAATTTGGCCGCTCTGGTCCCTGATGAGTCTGTTTCTGTCCTGAAAGCCCCAGAGGGAGCAGCCCGTCACATGACTGAGAGGCCGCCGTGCGCACAGGCCTGCGGAGATCCTCTGACCAGTGAGGACAAAAGCCGCTTTAACAGGCTGATTTTGGAGGTCTGAGCCCCGTTTTTCAGAAGGGGGGGGGGGGGTGCCCATGTGGACGCCCTCTGGCCAGATGGGAATCATCAGACAGAAATCAGCCAGAAATGTGCTGACTCGTCACAAAGTCGTCACATGATTCTGGGGAATCAAAATATCTAAATTTGAAAAAGGCTTCTGGCTGATTTCTCCCTTTCCTTTGTCCTCGTTTGCTTTGGAGCTTCTGGGTTTTAATATCCAGCTGGGACTAAAGGACGCAGGAAGCTAAACATCAGGACAGAAATGGAGCCATTTTGCTCCTCTTATTCTCTTTGGTCGGGTTCAGGAGGGGAACCGGCTCTCCAGCTCCCCCTGAGGGACACCAGGCATTCCCAGAGGGGACACAGGATCCCTTAATGGAGTCCTGGCTCTCACACAAAACCTCTAAAGGGAGAATCCAGGAGGAATGAACCCAGATGAGTCCCCTCACTGACCCGAAAGCTCCTCCTTCCTGCTCAGCTCCCTCTGAACCAAAACAAACCAGAAAACACTGACCTCAAAGCAGCCAAAGACAGAAACCTTTCTAACCAAAAGCTCCTGTAAGGTTCAAATTTTCACTGTTTTTACAGCCATACTGTATATGTGTTTGATAATTGACATTTGGATATTTCTGTGCTGTTTAGATTTGGCTTTAATCTCCTTGTAAATGTGTATGAGGACAATAAAAGGCGCTCTGATTCTAAGATGTGGAAGAACAGGCACGAATCAAAGAAAAGAAACCGGATCAAACCCTGAAATAGAAAAACAATCTGAGCAGATAAAAGTGGAAAGGACGAGGTCACAGGAATGGGGGTCTAACAGTTAATTAGAAATACAGCAGCAGCTCTGCATAAGGAGCCAAAACCGGGCTCAGATGTCTGCGACTTTCTCTGATTTCTAACTTTTAAAGAGCTTAAAGCAGCATCTGTGCCGTTCAAGGTCCATTTTCCTCATTTGTTTCTTCTCCCCTCTCTTATCTGCTAACTTCCCCGTCAGATGTGACCTTTTATCTCCTCTCTGGAAGGTTTTTCTGTCCCGGCCTCCAACTTATCCTGATATGCCTTCAGTTTTTCTGCATGTGAGGAGAGACTAATCGAGGAAAACGGGCTTTTAGAGACATCAGAAGCTGTTTATTAGCTAAAAGTTCAGCAGTTCTGAGGTCAATTGCTGGTGTGTGCAACCTAAAAACGGTGATTTCGACCCTTCTTAAGGGTTTGATCAGGCCTATATTCACCCATCAGGGTGTTTTTCCCCTTTTTTTTCCGAGACGCCTCACTGTCGGGCATGCATCTCTGACAGTATCTGCTTCGGATATTATCTGGAAAAAGAAGTACGAGGCCAAGCTGCGGCAGCCTGACCGGCTGCAGACTGGAAAAGACAGGAAGGACAGAGTGACCGCCATCAAGACAAACAGTGGAGGACGTTTGTTTGAGGGATAGTGGAGCAGAGCCTGAAAACCCGGAGGAGGACACGTCCACTCAGGGTTGCTCTCCATCCAACAACCAGCAGGGGGCAATTATAGACTGTTAGGTTACAGACTCCTCTATCTATTTAAAAGCTATTTTAATGCAACACTTTAAAAACGCTGATTCATTGGGCTCTTTTTCCTTTATAAACATCAAAATAAACTCCCGTTTTTCGACTCCACAAACCAGAAAAGGGTCATTTTGGCTGCATCTCTTATATTTTTAATAGAAATAGATTCTATAATATAAAATGATCTGGCTCTGCAACTAGAAACTGTGGAAGAGACACTTTTTTCTTCTTGTTTTGTTCAAACGGGACTAGAAAATAGAACACGGTGAGAGAGGTGAATATTTGAACCGGAAATGTCCAAGCTGAGTAAAAGGGATTCAGAATAGAACTGAAAACAAAACAAAAACCGTCTGCAGGACGAAGGCCTCCTGATTTAGGACGTCAGCTCCTCCAGAGGGGGGACCTTTAAAGCTTTTCGGAGAAGGTTTAGCCACATTTCCATCTGACTCTTGATCTAAATTACTCTTTAAAAAGTCGTTTAAAAAATTCCAATTTAAGACATATTTAAATGGCTGACTCAGCTCAAAACAACCCAGAGTCAAAGGAGTGAATTAACAGATGTGAATATGTTGAAGTCTTAAACAGATAATTGAGAAAAAGAAAACGTTCCAAATTATAAAGTGAGTTATTCTTTCCTTTTTCGGGGGGAAAACATGAGCTTTTTCTGAATTTAAAGGGAGCAGCACATCTCAAAAAGCTGGGACTGGTCGATGTTTCCAGCTGTGCAGAATCTCCTCATAATGATCAGTCTGTAAACATCTGGAACAGAGGGAGGGGTCCCATTTCTGTCTGATGGAGGGTTCCAGCTGTCCTGGTTCTGCTTTGTTGGGTGTTACATGTTTTCAGGTTTGTCCAACATCTGGACTCTTCTTCAGTGGACCCAGGAAGCGGTTTACCGTCGTCATGCCGACAGAGGCGCCGTCAGGAGGGAAGCATATGCTGCTCTAAAAGCTGAAGGTTCCCAGTTCCAGAGACACCGATTCCTCCGCCCCATCTGAAACGCGGGCTGTGGACTGAGGGCCGGACGGAGTCCTTTCAGGGAGCTTTGGTCCAGAGGAGCAAAGCTTCTGGACCACGTTCACATCTGGCTCCTTCCCCACATCGCGGAGCTTTAACCTGCATTTGTCTTCACAGATGTTGACTTCTGGGGGTTCTCCTGAGCCCACACAGCGATTTCAGGACGGAATCAGGTCTGTTTTTAATCCAGAGAGATGCCTGAGGGCCTAAAGGTCACAGAGAGCTCGACTCGTCTCCTTTATTCACATACACGTTCCTTTAAGTGTTTTCTAATAAGCTAATCTGTTCCCAGACTTTTGCTGCTCCTTTAACGGCTCTTTTAAGACAAGCTGCTGCCACTAAACTAAAGAAGTCTGAAAAGTAAATGGCAGATCTCTTTTCACCAAACAGTAAACATCTTCCTGTGAACACTGATCATGTTTTCTACGCTCCGCAGAGAAGAGAATGGTCTGAAAATTATTGAATCCTTGTGACATAAACATAGAGGGGAAGTGATCTATTTTGGTAACCAGCTGATTGTTTGACCTTTGACCCCCCACTTCAGAAAGATCTGAGCGTCTCGTTTTCAAAACCAAAACTGAAACGTTGCCTGGGCATTTCTCAGTGATGATTCTTAGCCATTTCCAGTCCGGACACAGAGCAGGTTTTAAAAAGCCTCTCTGCCCTTCAGGACCCGGCAGAACCGGATCACCAGGGAGGCGATCCTTAATTAAACAGCGGCTCGGTCTAATTCTATTCTGAGACTATTTTATTAGATTCTCCCTACTGGAAAAACTCGCTAAATCCAATACTCAGCTGTCAGACTGAAGTGAGTTTGAATGCCCTGTCATTGTCTTGTGAGGGTGAGGTTAATAAAGGAAAACACAGGCCACATTACAAAGCACAGCCAAAATTTAGCCGACCAAGTTAGACTTTGTGATTGAGTTTCACTCGGAGGCCGCTTTTTAATATCGTTAGAGAGGAAATTCAATCAGTGACAAGACTCTGGCCCAGCTATGAACTGAGATTAAATATAATAAATGAACCGCATCATAAAGTTTCAGTAATTACTTTCAAAGTTCATAAAGTGAAACCGTCTGAGGAAAGACAGGCGGACTCTTATTCCATCTGAGCCATCAACTTTGGAGGATTTAAACACCCACAAACACAAATTGTCAGCTAATTTAAAAGTCAAACTCGAGATTTTCAGCTACTTTAAAATCTGGTCTCATTTCTAAAGAAAAATCACGTGTTTGGAAACCAAAAAAGCTCAGTTCAAAACAAGTCAACCTCCATCTGAGGCCAATTTCCAGGACTCAGAAGCGAAACCCACGAAAAAAAAAGCATATTCACGTTCCTAAATCGGCTTA